TTTTTGGTTTTTCGAGACAGGGTTTCTCTGTGACTTTGGAGCCTGTCCTGGAACTAGCTCTGTAGACCAGGCTGGTCTCGAACTCACAGAGATCCGCCTGCCTCTGCCTCCCAAGTGCTGGGATTAAAGGCATGCGCCACCATCACCCGGCTGCCCACAAATTTCAAGATGTCTCTATGTCACAGCTCACATCAGCTTCTCATCCTTCAGGACTCAGCTGGACATGTGCCTGTTGCAGTACTCCAAGGTTCAAAAGGACTGGATCCAGGGGCAGGAGAGATGGCTCAGTGGTTAAGAGCACTGACTGCTCTTCCAAAGGACCCGGTTCTGTTCCCAGAACCCACATGGCAGCTCACAACTGTAACTTTAAGATCTGACACCTTCACACAGATATACATGCAGGCCAAGCACCAATGCACATGAAATAAAAATAAATTAGTTAAATCAAAACCAGAAAAGAAAAGAAAAAGAACAGATCCAGCTTGCTGCTAGAATGGGATTTGTGCCCTTCTTGGACAATGCCATTTCCGCACCAACAAATTCTAACAGGTTTGATTTTTTTTCTTTTCTTTCTTTTTTTTCTTAAAACTTATTATGCATGCAATGTTCTACCTGCATATATGCCTGCATGCCAGAAGAGGGCACCAGATCTCATTACAGATGGTTGTGATCCTCCATGTTGCTGGAAATTGAACTCAGGAGCTCTGGAAGAGCAGCCAGTACTCTTAACTTCAGAGCCCCAAATAAGTAAGTTGTCTGTTAGGTTTATACTTTTTTTTTGTTTTGTTTTTCAAGATAGGGTTTCTCTGTGAAGCTTCGGAGCCTGTCCTGGAACTTGCTCTGTACACCAGGCTGGTCTCGCACTCAGAGTTTGCCTGTCTCTGCCTTCCAAGTGCTGGGATTAAAGGTGTGTGCCACCATCCGTCCAACCTAACTGATTTGAAATGTAGCCTAAAGACACAGAGGCCAGACAAAATTCCCTTCCACTTTTGTTCCTCCCCTTGATCACTCTTGCCTTCTTATCATCCTCACACTTATATATGTTTTATAACATAACTTCTTTATTGATTCCTTGGGAACTTCCCATAATGCACCCCAATTCCACTCATTTCCCAGTTCCTCCATATCTTCCCTTCACCCTTGCAGTGGCTCCCCTGAAAAGAAAATTAAAAAAAAAAAAAACTAAACCAAAACTAAACCAGACCAAATTAAACCAAGCAAACAAAACACTTTTCTCTTTGTCTTTTCTGCTTCTCCAGCTCCTCTTTATTAGTTTAGTGACATTGGGAGCCATGATGTGTCACACAGTGTACTCCTTGTCCTGTCGGCTTTACTTACAAATGTTTGTTTCAGCGAGTCATCGGTCTGGTTCAAGGCCTTTGGTTTCTGGTACACCATCATCACTGGACCTTCGCCGAGACTCCTCTTGGATATTCTGTGGCTGCCCGAGTCATGGATGTACTGCGTGTATTATTCAGCAGGACCCGTCCCTTCACAAGCTCCAGCAAGTCACAGATTGGTAGATATTAGGGTAGGCAGACCCAAGGCCCTGCATGTGTGCCTGGGTTGTAGTTGAGCCGGTCAGTCTTGGCTGCTGGGGCTGCAGGTCTCAGGTGAATGGCAGAGCCCGCTCTCCCAGGTCCGCGGTAAGGAGTGGGGCCAACCCTTCCGAGTGCAGGGGATCCTACTCTCCCATGACGGGGGCAGCTCTCTTGCTACAGTGCCCAGTGAGGGGCAGGGCCAGTGAAGGGCACGGCCCTTGGATTTCACCATGCATGGTTCCTATGGCTGCTGTGGTAACTTGGGCCACAGACATCAACACAGAATCCAGCTACACCAGGACCAAGGACCCAGACATTACCTTCAGCTGCAGCTCAGGTCTAGATGTCACCATGGCCCTGGGTGGTAGCACAGGTCACTCAGATCAGCGTGGCTCCAGGGTAGCATTGCCCTCATATGCCAACATGGACTCAGATGGCTGACCTGACACTGGGCATCCACATGGACTTCAGTGGCAACTGAAGCCATGAATATCAACAAAGACCCTGGCTGCTACAGGACCACAGACCCATACATGGCCCTTGGCAGCAGCTCAGGTCTGGACATCATTATGGCCATGGGTGGCGGCCCAGACCCACCCTGAGGCCTTTGGTGGCAGCATGAGCCGTGGACTTTAACAGAGACTCTGACTTTCAATAATTTTTTTTAAGTGTATGTGTGTTTTGCTTGCAGGTATGTCTGTGTACCATGTGCATGCCTGATGCCTGATGCCTATGAAGGTCAGAAGAGGGTGTCAGATCATCTGGGACTTGGGTTACTGACTGCTGTGAGTCCCCATATGTGGGTGCTTGGAACTAAACCTGGATCCTCTGCAAGAGCAAGATGTGCTCTTAACTACTGAGCCATCTCTCCAATCACTCAAAAAAATTTTTTTAAACACCTATCTATCTATCTATCATACAAATTTCGGGAACCATGGTAGTAATACAAATAGACTCCCCTTTTTCTTGTTTTTTAATATTTTGAGACAAAATTTTGCCATTTACTTGTTGTCCTGGACAGGCTACGTAGAGATTATAGAGATCCATGTGCCTCTGTTTCCTGGATGCTGGGGTCAAAACCATGTGCCACCATGACTGGCTTTTTTTTTTTTTTTTTTTTTTTTTTTTTTTTTTTTTTTTTTTGAGACAAAGTCTCATGTAGAACAAGCTGGCCACCACTTGCTACGTAGCTGAGGCTGGCTGGCCTGTCTTCATCCTGAATACTGGGATTACAGCTATATATCAGTACACCCAGATCAGCAGGTTCCTTTTCTGATGTATAAGTAATCTCATATGCAATAAAGAAATACTAGTTTAATTAGTATAAGAAGTAGATATAGACAAAAAAAAGATTTCACAAGTAATCTAAATATTACTGACTGAAAATAGCAGAGTGAGCTGTGAGCTGGGTAGTAGTGGCACATGCCTTTAATCCCAGCACTGGAGAGGCAGAGGCAGGTGGATCTCTGAGTTTGAGGCCAGCCTGGTCTGCAGAATGAGCTCCAGAACAGCCAGGGATACATAGAGAAACCTTGTCTCAAAAAAAGTAACTTCACAGTCACCAAAATGATATATATGGTTTGTTTTAGTTTTTCAGTTACTATGATACAAATAGCCTAACAAAAGCTATATAAGGGGAAAGGAATTTATTTTGACTCAAAGGTGATCCCCTCTGCCTTGGAGAGAGAACCATGGTGATACTCTCTGCAGTGGAGAGAGAGCCATGGTGACCAAGCATGAGGCAGTGGTGTTTTTCTGCAGTCAGGAAACAGAAAACAGTGAATGTTGGTGCTTAGCTTGCTCTCTCCCTTCTCTTCAGCCCTAGATCATAGCTCACAGAATTGTGGGGCCACAGTAAAGGCGGTCTTCCCACTTCAATAGACTCCACCAGCATGCCCTGAAGCTAGCCCAGTCAATATCATTCCCTCACTGGTGTACCAGAAGTTTGTCCTAGGTGATTTTTACTATGTTAAAGTTAAAACCTTTTTAATTTAAACAGAAAAGGGGAGGTGATGTAGGATTTCCCTCTGTATGCTGTGATTACCATTGATAAATAAAGGAACTGCTTTGGGCCTATAGCAGAGCTATAGGGGAAAAAAGCTAGGCTGGGAAAACTAAGCTGAATGCTGGGAAAAAAGGAGATGGAGTCAGGAGAAGCCATGTAGCCCTGCCAGAGACAGATGCTGGAAACTTTACCCAGTAAGCCACAGCCATGTGATGATACACAGATGAATAGAAATGGGTTAAATTAATATGTAAGAGTTAGCCAATAAGAAGATTCACAAAATCGGTTAGTTACCTTATTATCGCTACTCTAAACTTAAGTCATGTAAACATTGAAAGGTGAACTCAAGACACACAAGCACAGCAACCCTTAAACACCAGGTCAAATACTCAAAAATGTACTAAGGTATGAACCACTAAGAAGTAAGGAATATGAACTACAGAAAAAGCATTGATAGACATTGGCTTTTGCTTTTTTTTTTTTTAAATATTAAGCTTACTGATTCAATGGGCAGAGATCTTAAATCTGACATTGTTTTTTGGTGGTGACAATACTAGTTTTATCTTGATAGCTGTAGAATGTACATTACGTTAAATTAGATATTAAAATGCCAATACTATAACGTTGTTTGGAAAAAAAGTGTATTATCCATTAGCAATTATTTCAACAGTAAAATTAGCCGCCCTCAACATTGACAACAAAATATAGGTAGATACCCTATAGACCGTGTGTATGCGCGCACGCGCATGCGTACAAGGAGCCAGACTCCATTTCCGACAACCTCTCTGTACTTCCGGCGTAGCCCGGCAGCGGGATCGCTCGGCTTCCGCGTTCGGGCCTGGCGCTGTGTTAGAGGCGGCGGCGGTGGCGGTTGTGGGGGCGAGGGGCACGGGCTACGGGCATGGACGTTTCGGGGCAGGAGACCGACTGGCGTAGCGCCGCCTTTCGGCAGAAGCTGGTCAGCCAAATGTGAGTGTGGCCGGGGGCGAGGACCGGGTGGTCGGACCTTAGCCGCGGGGAGGGTGAGGCCGGGCTGGACACCCCCCACCCCCGGAGACCCTGGCGGGAACCCGCGGGATCCGCTGGGCGCCGGGAACGTGCGGATCCTTCTGCCGTCTCCCTGGCCTGTGTGGGGCGGCAGGGACTGCTGGCTAGTTTTTCTGGGGTCAGACTCTGCAAACCCAGCAACCCTGGCTAGTGAGTCATCGTCGTGAGCCGCCTCGTCATTTGTGTGCTTGAGTGCAATTTTTCCTCTGCTTAGATTCTCACGGAATACAGAAAAAGAAAGAGGCAGCTCCAGATTTACCAGGGGTGCCGAGCAGCTTATTACAAAAAAAAATAATAAAAAGAAAACCACATCAGTGAGTTGGAGGAGGGTAGGTGGAAGACAAGATCGAGAGATTATTGGAAGTTTAGTAGGTGTTTGGACCGCGGGCAGTGGGGACAGAGAATAGTGTTCCCTTCTCTTCCACAAGGTGTGTAAAGTTGGCCGAACGCTGGAAGGAAGCAGCTGTGGATTAGGGAATGAAGGGTTGGGGTGCCCTCTGCTCAGGGAGCATTGCTGAGTGCTTGTCTCACCTAGCCATTTTATTGAGCTTCCGGAAGTGTTTAGAAAATTGCTTATGGCACGGCCTTTTCCCTGAGGGTTGGTGCTGCCGGTAAAGGAACAGATAGTGTCAATGCTCAATCACGTTGTGGGCACTAAAGTGTGAGATGGGTAGGACTGGAGCCGCCTGCTTGAGTAGGTGACAGATTGAGTTCTAGAAAGAAAAGTAGGAGGGTGACAGGCCACCATTCCCCGCATATGACTGAGAAGCCATCATGAAGGACTGTAGTAGGTATAGTAGGTTCTCTGTCTTGGGAGCAAAATAGTCAAGGAGATGGAGCAGATGCTGGCATGGTTAGTGATGGGGATGCTGGGCAAATAACCTGTATCTGTTTGACGTGTGGTCTGCCTTGAGGTGGTCCAGCATTACTCTTGGGAAGGTCCCTGAGTCCCTGGAGATGAATTAATCATATGGTTTCACGAGTTGTTGTAGAAGACATAGTTGGCAGGGATTATAAAGGCCCACATTAGATGATGGAAATTGAAAGAGGAAGACACATTCCAGAGAAAGGGGAATGTGTGGACACATTGGTAACTTACTGGTTGGAGGGGGTGGGCTGAAGCAGTGTGGAAAGAAGGAGGCTGGGCTAAATGCAGGGAAGCATCAGTACATCGGAAGGATTGGGTACTCTATCAGGCTTGGTACCACCACAGAATAACCCTCGGACAGTTTGCAGACAGTTCAGCAAACAAGTGTTTTGGTTTTTTATTTTATATGTATTGAGTGTTTTGCTTGCCTGTATATAAGTGTACTGTGTATGACTGGTGCCCTCTAAGGTCAGGGTATGGGTCCCCCGGGCCTGGAGTTACAGGGGTTCTTATGAGCTGCTTTATGAGTGCTGGGAATTAAACCTGGATTTTCTGCAAGAGCTGCCACTGAGTGTACTAACCCGAGCCAAGGCTCCAGCCCACAAGTGCTTTATTGGTGCACTTGAGTTATAGTTACATGAAATCTTAGGAATGAAGTCTTAGAAATGATCTGAGCCCCAGGGCAAAGATTCTTTGGGGGAAAACCAGGTAGCTCTGTAGTAGTGAGTTGTCACCACAGACAGTGGGCTGTAGAAGTGTCTGAGGTCTGGGGAAAGACTAAAGCATATGGATATGTCATAATGCAACTTCCTTGTGGGAACCGAGGTGCCCTCTACCTTTGTAAGATATTGCTGTTTATGTATTATTTTATTTTGCTGTAGTAACCAATTATATCTGATCATTTCTTTATGTCAGAGGAGAGGCTCAGGTAAGATTTGGTGAGTGTTTTTTTTTAAGGCTGAAATCAAGATGTTGGCAATATACACTCTTTCAGATTTTTGCAACAGGGTTTCTCTGTGTAGCCCTGGCTGTCCTGGAATTAGCTCTGTGTACACCAGGCCTTGAACTCACAAAGATCCGCCTGCCTCTGCCTCCGCCTGCCTCTGCCTCCTGAGTGTGGAATTAAAGGTGTGCACCACCGCCCAGCTAATAAACACTTTTTGATGGACCCGTTGGAGGAAGAACCTACTTCCAATCCCATTCAAATTGCTGGGCATGCTGGGCAGTGGTGGCACCAGCACTCGGGAAGCAGAGGCAGGCGGATCTCTGTGAGTTTGAGGCCAGCCAGGTCTACAACAACTAGTTCCAGGACAGGCTCCAAAGCTACAGAGAAACCCTGCCTCGAAAATCCAAAAACCAAAAAACAAACAAACAAAAAATAATTGCTGGCCAAATTTTACTGCTTAACACTTGTAAAACCGAGGTATCCTCTTTCCTTCCTGGCCACTTGCCAGGGGTCAGTGTTTGTTCCTGGAGACTGTTCCTTGTGCTTTCTTTGTGGCCTATTTGTGGCTGGTTTTTCTGACTCTCCAAGTCCAACTTGGAGAGCATTCTCTGCATTTCACAGGTCAGTTTAGAATAATGCTACATGATGTTATGGTCTGTATCCTTAATCACATCTGTAAGTCCCTTTTGGGGTATGATGAAGGATAGTCACATGAACTGGTCAGCATTTGCCTACCACATTTGGGTGAGCACATCAAAGTTGCTTTTTAAGAACGAGCAGGTGTCTTGGTTTGCTTGCTATTGCTGTGAAAAACACCATGACTAAAAAGCAACTTGGGGAGGAAAGGGTTTATTTCATGTTACGCTTTATCCCCACCATCTAGAAAAGCCAAAGCAGGAACTCATCTAGGGCAGGAGGGGCTAGAGAGATGACTCAGTCAGTGATTAAGACCACTTGTTACTCTGGCAAAGGCCCCAGGGTTAGATTTCAGGCACCTGCATGGTGGCTCATAGCCATCCATAACTCCAATTCCAAGGACTCCAAAGCCTCTTCTTCTTCTTCTTTTTTTTTTTTTTTTGGTTTTTCGAGACAAGGTTTCTCTGTGGCTGTGGAGCCTGTCCTGGAACTAGGTCTGTAGACCAGGCTGGAACTCACAGAGATCCGACTGACTCTGCCTCCCGAGTGCTGGGATTAAAGGCGTGCGCCACCATCGCCTGGCTCCAAAGCCTCTTCTTGAGCAGGCACCAGGCTTAAACTGGTGCATCTCCTTACCTGCAGGCAAAACCTTTGGACGTGTAAAAAGTAAGTAGAAATTGAAGAGCTATAGTGGCATCCGCCTTTAATCCCAGTACTTGGGAGGCAGAGACAGGCAGAGCTCTGTGAGTTTGAGGCCAGACTGGACTACAGAGTCCCTGGACAGCCAGGGCTATGTAGAGACTTTGTCTCAAAACAAAACAAAACAAAACATATGCATGTTCAGAGCAGGTCTCTGGAGGCAGGAACTGAATGAAGCAGAGACTGGAGGAGTGCTGCTCGTTCTTCTCCGTGGCTCGTTTAGTTTGCTTCTCTTTACAACCCAGGAGCACCTACCCAGTGGGGGCACTGCCACAGTGGGCTGGGCCCTCCCGTATCAATCATTAATCAACAAAATTCCTCCACAGGCTTACAGGCCAATTTGATGGGAGCATTTTTTAGTTGATGTTCCACTCTTCCCACATGATTGACAAAAAACTAAGTGAACTCGTGGGTGCTCTCACTTCCTGGGTTTGCTTCTTTTCTCTCCAGGGTTTACTTTGGTGGTGACTCAATTTCTTGTGTTCATAGAATTTGAGAGGATTTGTATTGGGCTAATATACACACCTTTTGTTCTGACTTCCTCCAGTGTTTATGGTGTTGTTTAAATTTGGCCATTTTGGGAAGTGCTTCAAATCCTAGTGATTTATAATAGATGAAGAATAATGAAAACCTAGGGCCTGTACTTTGTGGAGGAGCAACATTTGCCTACACATTTGGGTGAGCACATCAAAAGTTGTAGGGAGTAGCCCAGTAGGAGGTTGTTTCCGTACTCCCCAGGGAACCCTGGTTCAGTTGTCAGTGCTTGGGGAGTGTGTAGCTACCTAAACACTGGGAAACTTTCTGGAAACTTTTAGTAGAGAACAAACATCTTCCACTGAGGAAAACACAAGTTTGACAGTTGTAACTGGAGATCTAGTCTTAGCCTTTCACTGGTCTGCCTTTCCTAGATTGCACAAATGAGGGCAGTGATGGCCCAATGCTGTCATTAGGCAGTCCACTGTCCTGTGCTCTGGTTTTTGTGTTTTTGTTTGTTTGTTTGTTTTTGTAGCTCACCCTGTGGTCCAGCTTCTTTGGTTTTTCCACTTTAACATTCAAAGTTTGTTTCTTTGTTTTTACTTGCTGGAGATTGAGCCCAGGGTCTTGGCTGTGCTCAGCATATACTGGGCTACAAATCTGCGCCTCTAGCCACTGTCTCTTTGTAAAACAACTGTTACTAAGTATTTAGGGTGTTGAGAAAATGTGACTAAAGATGGACTCCACTGTTGTCATGAGCTGCTTTTCTTCCTTTCCATGTCTGCTCTGGTGTCAGATGTTTAGGATCGGTTCCTGTCCCCTCATCTACAGTGGGTCACCTTTTGGTAGGTCTAACTCAGCCCCTTTTAATTTCCAGGGCAATCCAGAGCTCTGCAGCATGAAGAGTACGGGAGGCAGTGTTTTTCTGGGGCCACCTGGTCAACCTCTCCTGTTACAGTGACCGTTGTGTTCTGTATTGTGAAGCTGGAACCTGCCCCACCTCTACTTATTGCTTTTGTGACCTTGGCACTGCTTGACTTTTCAAATCAAGTCTTTCAACTGTGAAATGATATTGGTCTAGTTTGTCTCACAAGGATGCTTGGAGGGACACTGAAGAGATTTTGTGCGAACTTTGTAGGGTCTGGGGACTGACTGAGCAGAAAACTCTTGGCAGTGACCTCACAGTGATTAGAGATACTCTGGCTTGGGTTGATGAAGGTGGTGTCCCTAAGCCCAGGAAGTTTGAGGCAGTGACATCTAAAGAAATCCAAAGGAGGAAAGTAGGTAGGAAATGATTGG